ATTTTTTTTCCCATTGTTTTTTTTTTTTTTTTTTTTTTTTTTCTTTTTTCCCCCCCCCCCCCCCCCAACGAAGCTAACTCTACTTTCTGATTGCAGAAAGCAGACCTTGCTGTTGCTCCTCTGGCCATCACCTACGTCAGGGAGAAGGTCATTGACTTCTCAAAGCCCTTCATGACTCTGGGGATAAGTATCCTATACCGCAAGCCCAACGGCACCAATCCAGGGGTCTTCTCTTTCCTCAACCCGCTCTCACCGGATATCTGGATGTATATTCTGCTGGCTTGCTTGGGTGTCAGTTGTGTGCTGTTTGTCATAGCCAGGTAACATGTCAATCCCTCTGATTTTATCCCTCCTACCAATTTTCTTCCCGTCAACCTGTCTGGCTTTTATCCTGACATACAGGTGTTACTTTGTCCTGGAACAGGAAAATGCCTTCTTTTTTTTTTTATCTGTAGTTACGATAAAAGATATTTGAGGACAAATTATTTGCCTTAAATACACTAAGACCTACACTAGTGTGGTCTGTGAATGGAGCTCATGTCGTGCAAGGTGCCTTTGCACAAACGCTGCTACTGTGAATGCAGCTGCCATATCTCCTGATCAAGGGCAAGAAATGTGTTGGAGGACGGTTCTTTACGCTATCTTGATGAACCTCTCACACTTAAATTCCTGATGCATAGCTGATGCAGTGTGATGTGTGTTAACCCTAGGGCTCTTCTCCTTTCATCCTGAGAGGTTTGGGTTTAATGCATATCTCAGTGAATGTTACCGGCAAAATGATCACACGAGAGGAAAGCAGCAACTGTCACCTAAGTTAGTTCAGAATATGCAAATTACGAGCATTTGTTTCTGCAGTTGGCCAGGGTAAGTAATTACCATAAAATTACTGTAAAAATGTATTCTGGTTCAAATAAAACAAGCCCTCTGTAGTTTCATGAAATTACCACCTTCTTTTTCTCTGCTTATGCTATGCGTTATGTTCATCGCATACCACATCAGTCATGCAAAAATATACCTGGTTATTTCCACCGGACTATAAATATGCAGTCCGATCTGAAATACAGTGTTCTCTGCAGTTCGCTGAGTTGGTTTTCTCATAATTGTGGTATTGATTGCACAGCCGCCAGATTGATTAAACAATCCCCCCAAAAGCAGGGTATATTATTTTCTTTAATCCCCTGCAAATAGAGTGAGTGGAGTGAGCTTATGAAGTCCCAGTTTTGCACAATAAAACACTAAACACCTCAATCTCACTGGGGATTTGTGTCTTTGACTCAATTTACTCACACATTTTTCTTGACTAAGTAAGCTATCTCATTTCAAAGCTCAGGAATAAAAAAAGAAAAAAAAGAAAAGGGGGGTAAAAAAACACATTTCGCTCAGTGGTTTCTTCCACCTCTGTTTGCGGCTGAATTGATCGGTGCTATTATTTACTTACAAAATAAATAACGTTCTCTCAGATCACAAAATTGGCAAGACAAAACATGACCTCACCTTCCTGAAGAATGGATGACTGAAAACGCTTCATGACACATTTGTGCGACTTACTGTGTTTTTTTTGCAGCTTTTATTTTATTTATTTATTTTTTTTAAAGCGCTTTTCGGACGTCTTTGCAGCAAGCTTCAGGTGCCTGCAGTTTCTAAGACCCCCACCAAGACAACATTTACACTTGGCGCGAGGTGGGAAAGACAACAAATCTATAAGCCCGGTGCGAGAAATTGAATCCAACAGGAAGGTAATGGAGGGAGCGTGTTTTGTGCTAATATAGTTAGGACAGGTGAAAAGAAAGGGGGGAAAAAAATAAGACGGGGAACAGTTCTCTTAAGATTCAGCTTGCAATTCGACATGTCCCATGAGCTGATTCTGAGGAGGTGACCTTACGTCTGCCTGTACCACATCCACTCCACACCCCTCCGACCCCCCGCCCCCTGATTGGTGTGCACGATGTTGCTCTGCAGGAATACAGGCCAGCCACAGGCAAAGGTCGTACAGAGCCGCCGTCACACGTTCAGAATACACATGTAGACACTGACAGACACAAACACAATCCAATCAAGTGTGCATTTTATAGATCTACACCCCGCAACCTTGCCGTCTGCATACATCTTACGTCGCCCTCGGTCTGCCTCGGGCTGCAGCTTCACATTATAAGTAATAACTGTGAAGAGCCACATAACTGTTTGACTGCGAGATGGATGTGACGACGGCGTCGGTCGACGCGAATGCGCAGGCGCTTCTGCAGAACCTGCGCGGCTATAAAGGTTCTCGCAGCAACAGGAATGAGTCAGTGAACGGAAGAAGGAGAAAGAGGAGGAAAACAGCATGTGCAGGCAAACAAATTGAAACCCACTTAGCTGCACAAGGCCATTGTGTCATTACCGTTGCCTGTGGTTCCAAGGAGACGGAGCTCATTGACATTCCAGTAAATCAGGCTTCCTGATGGTGTTGACAGGAAGAATTATAGTGTGTCATCACCGCCATGTCCACACAAATGATTCTCAAGGGGACAGAAATGCAAAAAGCTGCCAAGGAAGGGCAACATCTCAGAAATGTTGCTGCATTCTAAATGCATCTAAAATCGGATAGCTAATAAGCCAAGCATGATTAAAGAAAAAGATGAAAGTGACATCAAATGACATGTCTGCATTTGTATCCACAGTTTTCACGCAATAGCCTTTCACTTTGTTTCATCACTGATTTCCAGATTCGGGATTTGTTTGTCAGACATACAATGCAACAAACAGCCTGCAGCGACATGTTTGCATGAATAAAGTCTTTTAGAGCCAAAAAAAAGAGAAAAAAAAAGGTTTAGAAAAATGGAAATCCAATAAGACTGAAAAATTTCACCAGGTTACATAAACATTATTGATTTGTGGGGGTACTTTCCTCTAAAGGGACAAGTAAAAGCAAACCATGCCAGCATTATGCTCTCAAAGCATCAAGCATTCAAGTTCCCTTCCCCTCCTCCCAGTGAAAGATGACTCACCGGGAATAATCACTTTTTCTTCCCTCCACATCTCTGCAGACCATCACCTGTGTTTTTTTTTTTTTTTTTTTTGCACCACTGAAGTCTTAAATGTGCACTCATCTGTGTAATGAGAGGTTTATGCACTGCAACCCCTCCATAATATCCCTCACTTTGTAATTGTGGACAGACTGTTATTGCTGACACAGTCCGGTCACGTCCTGCATTGACATTTTGATTCACCTGAGGATGTGTTACACACTGCTTTCCTTAAATATCAAACTAATGCACAAGCACTGCGGCCTTCATGCGGCGTTTTAAAAAAAAAAACATATCCATGCTCATTGATCCTTTTCACGTTTCGCCACCTTTATAAAGTCCTGTATGTTTTGTAGGGATTCGGGTTTTTTTTTTTTTTTTTTTAAATAAATCAATAGAGAGTAACGCACAACGAGGAAGCGAAAGGAAAATTGTACACGTTTTTTCAAAAAGTTTTGTGAGTAAAAATCTGGACGGTTTGACACATCAGGCATACGCATTGAGCCTTCCTTTGTCAGCCACTGTTTACTTCAATTACGACCGCGTGTTTGCACATCTACAGACTAAAATTCAGTGCATTCTTCTTTGCAAAATAGCTTAGACTTAGTCAAACTGAGTGGAGGACATCTGCAAACATTGATATTCAAGTCGAGCCAAAGATCCTTGATTTTGATCTTGGAAGTTGACTGGGTCATTCTCTAGGTCATATGAATATGCTTTCATTTTACTACTTTATCGAAGCTCTGGCTGAGTTCAGAGTCACTTTCTTTCTGGATGATGAATTTCCTCCCCAGTGTCAAGTCTTTTTCAGCCTCTTACAGTTTTTTTTTTTTTTTTTTTTTTTCGAGATTACCCTGAATTTTGCTCCATCACTATTCCCATCAACACAGAACAGCTTAGTTTTCTCTGATGAAAGAAAAGCATTCCCACAGCAAAACACCGTTGTTCACCGAGAGGCCAGCGTGTGCAAGGATGATGTGGAGTATTCATTTCCAACGCAAAAAGCATTGCGTTCCCCTTCCACTTTATAATTATATGTTGTTTTATGTTGGCCGGTCACATATATCTGTCACAAAGTCTGTAATTTCACAACAAAATGCAAAATACTTCTTGCACTTTATATGTACATACATAGAGAGCGAATCCATATCACCGCCCCTATCTTTACCTTATTCTGTCACCCTTTTATACATGCAAGATTTCGTAAAAGCCAGTTTTGAGTTAAGCTGCTTGATATGGCGTTCTGTCATTAAGTATCTTCGCCCAGACAAGCCGTCCAAACAATCCAAGCAATGTGTCTTTCCTCCTGCATCTCTAAAAGCCACAGCTGACAAATTGGCATCACTTTTCTAAACAGTCTAAGCCTTTAAGACATGGCCACAGGCTTATTAGCATGCACTAAGTTGCAGAAAAAGCCCCTCAACAGCATTACCTGACGGACCCCTTGACTCTGCATAAGCAATGTTCTCTCTATCAACCACTTCAGCACAAACTCAATCAGTTCCCCATGCTTAACACTAACCCAATCACCTTGTGCTAATGCCATGCCACTTTTGGTTAGGATAATAAATGGGAAATGTCCACAAGTGACCCGGAGACACCAACAATCTACCAAGACAGGCAGCAGATGAATGGGGGTAAAAGGGGGAGGTTCATAGGGGAAGAAAAGCCCGGGGGGGGAAAAAAGGGGAAAAAAAAAAAAAAAAAAAACAGTTGGTTGTTAGAATGAAAAGAGAATGAGAGCATCGAGGGTTGGGGGGAACATTGGGGGGTGCGGCTGAGAGAACAAGAACAAGCTGCTTGGAAGAACACATGAGATCTCTGTTGTGAGAGGAAGAAAGAAAGAGAGGAACACATTGTATCTGCAGACAAACGGTGACTGCAGCTGCTGAGGAAACATTTAAATCCTCCGGAGTAAGGTTAGCGGCGATGATGGCCAATATCATCATGCGCTGGGACATTATCATCAGTGACAGTGTTATTTCAGCTTATTGATCTGCTCCACAAGAATCCGATGGCATTTAATTATGCCGATCTGTTGATTTCAATGAAAACAAGAATGATTTTCCTTCCTTTGTGCAGGAACGCTGTTTTCTAAGAGCAAAAAATAAATAGACATTTCCAATTCTTTTATTCCCGTTGCTTCAAAGTATTATTTTCTCCTTGATTTGCATCAGGGAATTCAGTGTTCTGTGCTCTTTATTACTGACTGGTATGTCTTTCTGCTCTTTCTCCTGTAGGTTTAGCCCGTATGAGTGGTACAACCCGCATCCATGCAACCCAGACTCCGATGTAGTGGAAAACAATTTCACACTGCTCAATAGTTTCTGGTTCGGAGTCGGGGCTCTCATGCAGCAAGGTATTTGCCTCAGCCTGTGGCAACAGTTGCTCTGGGGAGCTGAAGCTCTCTGCGCCCCGCTGTCCTTGAGGGCTGGACGCTTTGAAAGGCCACTCGCAAAAGAAAGAGACGTCAAAGGACGCTTGGCAGCTTTTTTTGTAAACACAGACAAAAACTACGTTTTGAAATAATATAATATACATTTTTGTCACAAAATGTATATTTTGTGGCAAAATTGGAGTAAAATTAGAGGGTGCCAGAGTAAAGGCGTTACTATCAATAAACCTTTGATATTTTACAATCTGCACAAAATTGTAGATAATTGTGGGGCGTAAACGTGGAAAAACATAAAATGTTTTTCACATTTTATGTCAACAAATAAAAGTTTCAAATGCGTGTTCAGTGCTCAAGTCAGTACTTTGGAGACAACCACCTTTGGCTCTGATCAAACCTTGCACATTTGGAGACCGATTTTTTTTTACCTATTCTCTGCAAAATAGCTCAAGCTCAGCCTAACTGAGCTTTGCTCATTAAAAGCTAACTGCTTTTAATGATGTATTTGATGTTTTTTTCCCGGCGAACTGCTTTTGGAACTTAACTCCTTATTTGTTTCCATTCCTTCATAAAGGTCAGATTTGGAGAGGATATTACTTGTAGTTGTCATGTCAACAAATTCTTCCACCCCCAGAGCTGTTATGAGCCTAATTGGTACTTCACTTAGCCTGTTAGTTTAGGTTTAGTTAGATTTGTAATTTTGCCATGCTCTTACCATTTACAGTTCTCATGTTGTAAGTGTTGTTAGCGCTGCACATCTCTGTCCAGCTATCCTCTCACAGCTGATTTATTTGTTCTCTAATGTCCTACAACAAGCCTCTTACACCTTTACAGGACTGCTGTATTAAATGCAGAGGTAAAATCATAAAGAGGTGTAATTAAGTGACCAATGAAGGCTGTTGGGACTGGATTTAATTTTGGGATATTATAGTAATGGGGTTCCTTTTGTGCAAAATTATGTTGTCTACCCGATGTAAACTATTGAAAAATGCAACATACTTCAGTGTTTTTTTTCTTCATGCCAAACTTTAAGACTGTTCAATATGTGGCACACATTCTACCATAACTTTTTTTTTTGTCCAAATAATTTCCAATGCTGGATTTTTATTTATTTATTTATTTTTTTGCAGCATCTGAGCAAACAACAGAACAGTGGGGGAGGGGGGCATTAAGAAATATACCGAGCTCTATAAACTCAATATTAGGACGTTGCACTAGAGCTACGAAAAACTTTTGACATTGTGCTTAGGTGGCACGTAATGGTTTCTTTTACAATAAATCACGAAAGGTAACAGATGTAGAATGACGACACCATCAAATTTAATGTTCGCTCTCCATAAAGTAAACTCCAAAATTAGATGTTGTCGTTCAGAATCAAATTGGCAAAGCAACCGAAGGCCTGAATCACTTGGAAATATATTTTCTGCCACTTGATTTTCAGAGCAAAAAAAAAAAGAAAAGAAAAAATAAATCTTTCATGTCACATCAAAGAAACAGTAGAGCACATTTCACACGTTCTTAAAAGCTTTTGTTTTTATGTCTCTGTTTTACACTCAATTAATTTACAAAGGCTCCGACGTTACAGTTTCCATCTGCTCTTTCCACCAATCCTTGAAATCCTGGAGCTTAGTTCAATTGCTGCAAGTGTTTTTTTTTTTTTTTTCTCTTATCTCTAAAGTTTTATTGAATAATTTATGGTGTGTGTTTTGGCCCAGCTCGGCGGAAAACTTAAAACACACCGTTTATGTGACGGCAGCACTAACCTTAATACTTTGGAGATTTACAAGCCTGTGATTACACAACTGCCAATATCCAGCCTCCTCTTCTCTTGCCAATGGCCTCTCAGCACCTTGAGCTCAGCGGGGTGTGGAGTCAGGATGTGAGGTTACCTTGGGTGCATGACTCTCTGGCTCTCGCCTCTCTACACTGTTCCGAACAATCGATACCGACTGTGTTTGATTTGAAATCGTTGATTTATGCAAACACTCTCCTCCCAGCAGACGTATTAGACAGTACTTTTGGCTTTCTCTTGAATTAATTAAAGGATTCGCTTCTAGATAATTTAGCTTGTTTGAAGTGTTTGAAATCGTCTGGTGTTCAGAGGTCCCTTGAGTGATATACACTGTTGAGACCAGTTGCAGACGTACTCGAGCTAAAACAAAATAAAAATAACTCGGAGTTCTCAAAGCAAGTTTAATTGATACAGTCGTGTGTTTTTTTTTTCGTTTTTTTTTCTTTACTACATGATGATGAGAAGATTAGTATCGTAAATGAGACAAACATGTTTTGAAGCATGATACTCATTCCTGCCACTTCCCCTCACCTCAGGCTCAGAGCTCATGCCCAAGGCCCTGTCAACTCGAATAGTCGGAGGCATCTGGTGGTTTTTTACCCTCATCATCATTTCGTCATACACAGCCAACTTAGCTGCTTTCCTCACTGTGGAGCGAATGGAGTCGCCGATAGACTCCGCCGACGACCTGGCTAAGCAAACGAAAATCTTGTACGGACTGGTGGAGGACGGTGCCACCATGACATTCTTCAAGGTAGGGTTTCGTTACTTCGGCGGTATCGTGGCGTCACTATTTTAGTCAATACAGGGTTGAAAGGTCGTGGTGCTTTTGCCTCTTTCACCAGTTTTTTGGGTTTGTTTATCTTTTCTAACCTTTGCACTTATTAAACAAAGCCAAACTTTGTTGGATGTGTCATTCATGAAAGCTTTGCTAATGTCTTGCAGCTGTCATGAAAATTGGCCATTTTAGTTTTCTGCAGTTTTCTATAAGGTTGTTATGTCGTTCCCATATTCTTGTTTCAACTCTCACAGTAAATGCAGTGCAGCAATACGTCATGCTTAAGTCATGTTTTCATTACTTTTATGCAGAAAATCATTTAAAAAATTACAGAAATAAAGGTCTTGAAACATAAAGCATCCACATGTGTAATCTATGATGCGTTTTACTTATAGTTAAGTTGCTCAAGAAATAAACTTTTCAATAATATGGTAATTAATTGCATCTGACTGTCAACTAACATGTTGCATTGATATTCAGTCTTATAAGCAGCTCAGCGTTTAATTTACACAGCGCCATATGGAGATAATTGGCATCAATCAAAAATAAAAGCCTGAATATTTCCTGGATGTGCCACACATAATATTAAACAAGGCAACGATTTTTATTTATTTATTTATTTATTTTTACCAATCATACTTATTTTCTAACTTTTAAATACAGGACACCAAAAATGCTATGTGTTTTGTCTAATAAGAGTTAATGAAAAGTTTCTGTTGTTTTTCCACAAAAAATACTTGGATAGAATAATGTTTCTTATCCTTCTTAAAACACATCAAGAGATCAGATTGTGACGACCTTTCTCCTCTTTTCTTTTTTTCTTTTTTTTTGCAGAAGACAAAGATCTCTACGTATGATAAGATGTGGGAGTTCATGAACAGCAGGAGGCAGTCTGTGATGGTGAAGAGTGTGGAGGAGGGCATCCAACGCGTTTTGACCTCTGATTATGCTTTCCTTATGGAGTCCACCACTATTGAGTTTGTCACCCAGCGCAACTGCAACCTCACACAGATCGGAGGCCTCATAGACTCCAAAGCGTATGGAGTTGGAACACCTATGGGTAAATCACCTGAAACCTTACATCCTGTTTCTTTTGACCGTTTTGCACCTGCTACGTGTTTTGTTTCAAAGTAGAGCATGATTGTGAAGTAGAAGGAGATGTAACACAGATTGTAAATATGGAACGTCCTGTGTTTTCATCTAACAAGTTGGACATGTCGAGAGATACAGAATCGCTGAAAAACTATGTTACTGGAGCAACGATTCAGTCCTGGCAGCGGCGGAGTTTATCTGTCAAAACCCAGTTTTTATTTTGGTATTACACTTTCGCTTATCAACAAGCCAATTTGCTTATTTGCTAAATATTTAGCATGGACCTAAATATTTATTTAGCTTGCTACCTCGCTAGCTAAATATTTAGCTAGCTACCTAGCTAGCTAGCTAGCTAAATATTTAGCAAACAAGCTAAATATTTAGCTAGCTAGTTAGATATTTAGTTAACAAGATAAATATTCACCTCAGAGCTAAATATTTAGTTTGGAAAGTAAATATGTAGCTTTCAGGCTACATTTTTATCTCGGACTTCAACATTTAGTTGGGAGCTAAATATTTAGCTTCCTAACTAAATATTTAATTTGAAAGCTAAATATTTAGTTTGTAAATTTATTTCTTATTTATTTTAGGGTTAGTTGAATATTTAATTTGGTACTCTGATATAAATGTACGCATAACATGGTGAAAATATGCCTTTGAAAAGTGAACACCCTTCTTTTTCTTTCTCTGTAACAGGTGGGATAAGGCAAATTATTGCTGTTTTTTGTTGTTGTTTTTTTTTTTTTATTGTGTAACTTTACAAACGGCACCCCATAACAGACTTCCTTCCTCAACTGTGACTGAGCCTGAGCTAATTTTTTTTTTCCCTTTTTAAATGGCAAAACTCCCACGCTTTAGATGTGCAAAGGTAGAAACACAAATCTAAAGACTGCAGCCAAAGCTGTGTCATTTCCTTCTACTTCCCAAGGTTGCATTATTTTTGCGTTGGTCATAACTTAAATATGAAACAAGCGTTTGTGGTTGTTAGGTGAGAAAATTGTGAAATAGATCCTGGAGCATGACTGGCTGACAAGACACAGTAATCTCTTTTGCAAATTTGATCATTTGATAACAAAGAGCACTTAAGAAGAAGATTAAAATGAGTGTTTCAGTTGCCGGTTTGAGCCAGTTTGTGTTCTGGAATAAAACAGAGGAAGTCCATCTTTCAAAATATACTTTTTGTTACCAGATAACTAGAGCCCAGTAGCACACACACATTAAAGCCATAACATCGCTAGCCAGAAGCTGTAAATTCATCCAGGACCAGCATCACAGAGGTTAAAGTGGTCACGACAAGGCCACAGAGGACACTTTTACCAGCTGCAGTAGCGGCGCCTATCATCAGCGATACGAAAGTCATCAAACCAGAGAGAATCATTCTTGGCTGGCCACATCTGGGCCTGACTTATGTCTTTGAGTCTAGGCCAGTTATGAATCTGCAGGGATGCAGTGATCGCCGTGGTGATGGGAAAGCTAAAGAGATGCAATGAAATATATCCCCATTGTGACTGTGTAAGTGCAGAAATATTTACAGTGACGCCCTTGAGATGGACATATTGAGCCAGAAGATGGATTCACTCGTCTTTTTTTTTCTTCATGTGGCAATGCAGTGTAGGGATAAAATCAAATCGGTCTACAATGCATAAAAGTTAATAATCAAAACGTTCAATCTCAAAGCAATTACTGACCACTAACACATTTCTGCCTCTTACTCTGCTATTCATTGCTCAATAGGCAAATTACAGCCATCAGAATGTTTCCTCAGCGGTTGTGAGATAGTTAATATCTTTATTAGTTCAACTGAAGAATAGAAGTTATTTCCTCCTTTTCTTTTTTTGAACCGTGCCTTTGTCCTCATTTCTTTCCTCCACACTCTGTGAAAACCTCAGCTGTTACATTAACTTAAAAGCTCTTGCAGCTTTAAGACAAAAGCAGCTCCCGTATTACATCTTAACCTTTTGCTGCTTCTCAAAGCTTTCAAACGTGTTTTTTTTTCTCCCCCCCCAAAAAAAAAAAACTGAAATGCGTCATCTTCTGCGCTATCGACTTAAACTGTGATCCTATTAATGCTTGAGGCCAGACAGTGGTAAGAATGATGGATGTCCTCGGGTGTTGAATATCTGTTAGGTAGCTGTGTATGCACAGAGTGTCGGGAACAACGCTTTTCCATTTGCCCAGATCCCGCTCTCCGTATCCCCCTCTCCAAGGACCCATCCTATTAGCATTTATCCAAGGCCTGCTTTGTTAGGCCATCATTAATCATTTGAAATATGAGAGGAGCCAGAACCTGGGGACTCGGAGACTCGATGGATCTCTCATCTTTAAATGAAGTGGAGAAATGCTTCTCACATGCAAGCTCCCATGCATATACACGAATGTGTTTTGAGACCTGTGCTTGCTCCAGAGTGCGGAATGCATACAAGTGAGGCTAAGCATCTGAGGGGCGGGGGGAAAAAAAAAAAAGATCATAAATTTGCTGCAAAAAAAAAAAAAAAACACTTCAGTGGTACAAAGTGTTATATTCTGTTTTGTTCCAACACTTTCTTGTCAGTGTAAACGCAGAGACTGAAGATGAAAGGATGATGGATGATGATGGATAAATGATAGATGAGACAGCGGGGGAATTAGTAAAAAGGAGCTGACAGGCTAAACTGTATCAGGGTGACAAACAAAGTGATGCTACCAGCTACCTGGAGCCATATTTTATTAATTTCCCTTGAGTTTCGCACAGAACGTTTTTAAAAATAATTTATTATTTAAAAAAAAAAAAGGACACATTTGTTTTTAGTCACGGCTTGTAATCCGCGGAGCCGAGTGTCTAAAATGGAGATGTAAAACCATGCTTCATTATGCATGAGATTGTAATCACGAAAATAGACTAATAAGCTTTGAGAGCTGTAAACGGGAAGCGTGAGGGCTCAGCCTAAGTGTTAATTTTTATTTTTGGTGGGGTTAAGAGAGGGTGTGCGCTCTGTGGCTCCGCTGTGGATGGGAGAGGACCACGACTCGGCTGCTGTGTGACAATTGCTCCAGCTTTGATCATGCCAGCACCCACTGAGCCTCAATGTCACTAAAGTCTGGCTCTCACCCACTTTCCGTGGATTTGGGCCCCGTCGCCTGAAAAAAAAAACACACACAGCAATGGTGGAACTTTTATCTCCAGTACTCACATATAATCCCAAACACATACGGAACCGTGTGATGTTTGCCCCACAGGGTTCCTCTTTCTCTCCCTTTCTCTCTCTTTTTTTTAGGCGCTATTTCTGTTGCATGAAAGTGTCTGTGAACAGCAGCTAATTTGTCAAAATCGACAGCGGTTCTGCTGCACAAAAAAGCCAAATTATTGTTGCCAGCTCCCCGCACGTTATAATCCTCACGCTGCAGAGATGAGTGAGAATTTTGGAATCACTCTGTGAAAATACGGATTAGCGGGATTTGAAGAAGGACTTACAAAAAAAAAAAAAAGAAAAACTCCCTCTAAGAAGCCAACAATAACATGACAGGTTTTTATGATCACAAGTCTCAATGTGTTTCACACACCCACAAAACAAAAGAGGGACTATACCAGACTCTTAAACATGTTCGCCAGGCTCATATTGTGCCGTTTGTATCCACAGGCTCTCCATACAGAGACAAGATCACAATAGCTATTCTTCAGCTCCAAGAGGAAGGGAAGCTGCACATGATGAAGGAGAAGTGGTGGAGAGGCAACGGCTGTCCAGAGGAGGAGAGCAAAGAGGCGAGCGCTCTTGGAGTGCAGAACATCGGGGGGATCTTCATCGTGCTGGCCGCAGGGCTTGTGCTCTCGGTGTTTGTTGCCGTAGGGGAGGTCCTTTACAAGTCCAAGCAGAACGCCCAGCTGGAAAAGGTACAGCGGACATTTTCGTCACGACTACAGGAATCGGTCTCGGTGACAGCTAACGGTAAACGGTCGCGGGGGGGGTCGTCGTTCAAAGACGCGTTTGTGTTTCGCACCGTGATAGAGGCTCATATCTGACAAGAGTAATCACGATGTGCACCGAGACGAGAGACGTGTACACGTTTCCACAAAAAAAAAGAAAAAAACACTCTGGGCAGGTGCTTGGGTGAAGAATGAGAATTTTGAACGAACAAAAAGGCTCACACACTGCAGGCGTCCATTCCTGCTTCATTTATCGCACCGTTTCATAGCGCAGAGGTGACGTGTTGAGAGCTCTGCTCTTCATTAGACCAGAGTTCTGCAGCCTGGGAGACTTTTTGTTCATTCAGCGTGCAATCAAAAGCATTTTCAGTGAAAGACTTTTTTAAAAATCTTTGGTAAAGGTTTAAAACTTACACAATGGGTTGCTTGAGTTTAAACCCGCCAGCAGTTATAAGCATTCTGAATAACCGGAAATAAAATCAGCTGTCTTACCGACATTTACCTGACATTTGCTCATTTATATCCTCACTTTTGTCTCATCTTTATGCATTTCTCTCAAGTCCTGGATTTGCTCTGCATGTGGTAATACTCTACTGTTTTCTTTATAAAGCTATATATTTTATTAGACGGTCTACAAATTAGAATAAATCACCAATAAAAGACAATCACAGCAAAACACGGTAGTGGCTGCATCATGCTGCCAGACTGCCTTTTTTTTTGCGTTTTTTTTTTTGTACAGGTGAATGAAATTATGAATTATGCAAGTTCTGACCTGGATTAATCATGCATCCACTAAAAGGATGAAGATGAAGATACCGGTAATTTCCAGTATCGCAGTGGGTTTAAGCATACATCCAAATCTAACCGAGAAGTTCTTCATGAAAGGAAAATTAGTTTTAGAATCGCACAGCCGAGTTCAGAACTAAGTCTGATAGGAAAGGGTTCCGGAAGAGAGCTGCACGCTCAGCCCCCGTCTGATTCGCTTTGGAGAACTTCTGCAAATTAGAGCGATCAAATATTCATAAGTAAAGCTCTGGGACGCTGATACAATCCTACCAAAGAAGACTGAACGCTGAAATAGAGTGAAAATACGCTTCAACAAAGTCGTAGCTTAAGGCTGTTCACACGTATACAACCGGGCTTTTTACTATTTTCTTCCAAAACAGGTCTGCTTAGTTTACAGTTGAATCTGGTACATCACACCAGTCTTGTGTGAGATACAAAGAAAAATGTTTGAAAATGGTTTATCAAGATCTCGTTTTCTTACCTTAGAAGAGCGTAGAAAATGTATTTTTTTTTTTCATTGTACTTAAAACATGTGAATGTTGCATTGCAAGTTTCTACACTGGCTGGCATAATTTCTTCAAAAGATTTGGAGGAAGTCTGTAGGATTTTGCTGCATCTTACAGTATGTCACATCAGAGAAATGTGACCATGGCTACAGTTAGTAGCCACTCAGTGTAGTGAAGACATTTCAGTGGAAATAAACAAAGAACACTTTACAGAGAACCTTGTTTTTTTTTTATTTTTTTTTTTATATTCTCTCTCACAATATTTGCAAAGCTGCAGATTGCATGACTGCAATCAGTCACACAATCTTATTTAGTCAAATCGCACAAAAGATTAGACAAGTTCATGAGCAACGCAGGGAGTGAGCCGGTGTGCAAGAAGAGAAGAGTCAACAACCCCCTGCTTGTGTTCAGCAGTTTGCTCTGCTCTCAGGGTTTCACAAATTGTTTTGGTTTAAGTTTTAGATAATTTATTTATGAGAACATTGTTTTCCTTTTAGAGGGATTTCCACTTAAGCTGTTCCAGTGCCACACCGGTACCAGTGAGCATTTAGCATCATTTCGTTTTCCGTTTCTAAGCCCCGAACCGCTCACCTGAGAAGCTGAAACAAGCAGTGCAGTGCCACCAATGCATTACCGGGCCAGAGGACAGAATCACACCAGGGGCGGGTTCCTGCAAAGCGACGTGTATAAATAAGTTAGTTTCACTTTCAGGCTGCATAATTTAGAGAGCAGCAATAAAGAGGTGAGCTTTAGCGACTAGGAAAGGTGTAGCATAAGCTTGTTGTCTCTCTCGCAAGCTAAAGAGAGGGCTAGACACGCCGCACAGAACTGCTTATACTTACTCTTTTGAGGTGAATTTACAAACTCTGATTGTGACTCCATTAATAAACACTGTTTGTGGTTTAATTTCCCCAGCTGGCACTGGAAAATCTGGCTTGAAACGGTGACTGTAACTCACATTTACGGAGTGTTTATGGGTCCGAGTATGACTTACAGAATGGATATGCCAGCCGGCAGTCTGAGCCCGGAGAAAACACATACTGTAGCTAAAGCAAGCGATTTCGAATTAGACTTATAGCATTAGGACGTTGGTTTGCATAGATTCTGAGATAAATATTGTGTTTTCTGTAGATAAACAGTCTCCCCGCCATGCGATCCTCAACAGCAATTCAGAATACAGCAGATGGAAGCTGTTGAGAACTAACTCTTGCTTCAGCCCTGGTGTCACACTGGAACTGGCGTTCATACGGCACATCATTGAATTTTTATTACTATTAGAAAAAAAAAGACAGCTTGTTAATAAATATCCACATACTAGAAAACATTAAGAGCTCACAGCTGCCGTCACTGTAAATAAGGCCACCTGAGTTAAATAATTACCACGAAAACGTCTTTTAATCAGCATATATTGCACCATCTTTCTTCCCCCTCAGGTTACTTTTCCAGAGTCTATCCACCGCCATCCGGGCTCTTAATATACGAGTGCACATTATTCATCAAGCAGAGTGGAGTATGTATTTTAGCGCACCATAATGTGTGCAATTGCATTTCCACATAATTGCCGAAGTCCCTAGACAGCATTTTTTAATTATTTACATCTCAAGAATTAACATAGTGCAGCAGCGTGTCACTTTATAGCAGTTGTAATTATTTCTATCTTCTTTTTTTTTTTTTTTTTTTTTTGAAAACTGCATATATTTCATAACATATTTCCGCTATTTTTATTCAAAAGATCTA